AAAAAAAAGAAAAAAAAAGAGAGAGAGAGAGAGAGAGAGAGAAGGAAGGAAGGAAGGAAGGAAGGAAGGAAGGAAGGAAGGAAGGAAGGAAGGAAGGAAGGAAGGAAGGGAGAGAGGAAGGAAGGAAGGAAGAAAATAGAAGGAAAATGCATTGAAAGGATTTGGGGGAGACACAGAATAGAAGTAATAGCCAAAGAATAGTTCTTGGAAGAGACAGAGACCAGAGAAGTTCTGGAGACCCAGGGGAACTAAGAGATAGTCTCTTTAGGGCTTAGACTCCGGGATGAATGAGCTCCAACCCTGTGGAGAGCTTTAAGATTCAAATTTCTGGGACAATATGTCTGGCATGGCCACAGTCCTGAGCTTACCTCTTGGCCGGAGGAGGGCAAGATGCCCTGATTAATGATACTACCAAGATAATACCCAGTGAGGGACGCTAGGTCACCAAAACAAAACTGAGTCACTCTTGACAGAAGTAAGGAGAATGGCCGCGAGGCAGGCAAAAACAGCAGGCACATTACACAACATTTAGCAAAGAACAAAATCCTTTAAGTAGGATAGGCTTTCATACTCAGAGCCTTGTGGTTTCTTTTTGATATTTAACCCCTAAATGGCAGAGCTGTCTTCTTTCCCCCCGACATCCGTGCCTTCCCCTGCGACACAGGAAGACCTTCCCCATGGTGGTTCCACTTTATGGACAGCATATAGGAATACGAACTCTGCATCAGGCCAGAAACACTGGTTTAGGGATCACTGGGAAGAGAGTCTCTGAGTCTCTGCCAGTGTTCAAGGCAGGCTTCCAGCGAATAAAACGCACTTGGGGGTGAAAGGCAAGCAAGGACCTGTGTCCTGGGAACAGAGCAAGAAAGGAAACATGTCCATTCCCCTTCCTGTACTTATAACCACCCGCAGTTGGCAACTCCTTGCCTGAAAGAGAACGTTTTGTGTTTCAAGAGTGAGCCTGTGGTGGCTGCAGGCTAGTTTATTGAGCGGCTTAGTTCAACCAGACGTATGGACAACTGCATCAACAGGTAAGGGAACCAGATGTTCTGTGCATAGATTGTTCTGAGGAAATTCTGTTACCCCCGCTCTGCCTGGAGGCTAATCAGATACGTGTGTGTGTGTCTGTGTGTACGTGCATGTGTGTGTGTACGTGCATGTGTGTGCGTGTGTACGTGCATGCGTGTGTGTGTGTTACTTCTACAAAACTCATCACCTGAAGTCCCTAAAGTTTCCACAAACATTACTTTCCTGTAGAATCATACCCATTTTAGAGATGGAAAATCTGAGGCATAGTATGTGGAACTATGAGTCAGTGGTAAAACCAAAAAACACGTTCGTGACTACAGGGTAAAGCTCTCCTGATGCGCCTTGAGGATGATGTGAAAACATGAGGGGGGGGGGAACAGAGTGAGGGAGGGAGAAAGAAAAAGAGGAAAACAAGTCTTCAAAGATGCCCGGGTTTGGGGGGGAGGGGGACTTAGGTGCTGAGAGGTGCCATTTATACACAATTGAGATTTAGACTGAAGTCACGGTCATCTCACCTCACACCACAAGCACCTTGCGTCACACAGTAAGTTTTCTCTCCAGCTTTGTGTTTTAGCTATAGGTCCTTCCTCCGGTTCAACCTAGAAGTTTCTTCATTCCTTGTGGGGCTTTTTCTTTCAAGAACAAAATCGCGATACTTCCGTGTAGTTTGAGAAGAGGCCTGATGAGGTTATACAATCACTTCCGGGAGGGGTTTTTAGGGCCTTGGGTCCTGTCTGACTGCTCTCATCGTAGGGGCTGCAGGGAGAGACGATACATTCAAAATGCTCAGAGGAAGAAGGGTAGACTTTGGAGCTCGTCTTCCAGGACAGTGGGAGAGATCTGGGAGTTAGGACAGCCTTCTGGGGAAGTGTCTAGAGCCTGTGAAATCTGTAAAGGGACAAATAATCTTATTCACAATGCCTGATGCATAGTAGGTGTTCAGTAAATGATTTGTTGAAGGAAAGAATACTTAAGTGAGTGGCTGTGAATCCCGTCGCTTCTACCCGACAGACTCCAACGCTTCCTTACCTTTGTGCATTTTTCTACCCTTTGCTGTCTGGCAACTGTGTGTGTGTGTGTGTGTGTTTTAATGTTTATTTATTTTTGAGAGACAGAGAGACAGAGCACGAGCTGGGGAGGGGTGGAGAGAGAGGGACACACAGAATCTGAAGCAGGCTCCAGGCTCTGAGCTGTCAGCACAGAGCCCAATGCGGGGCTTGAACTCACGAACCGTGAGATCATGGCCTGAGCAGAAGTTGGCACTTAACAACCAACTGAGCCACCCAGGCGCCCGATGGCAACTGTCTTTTAAGGCAATGGATCTTAATCTTTTGTGCGCTATGAACCCTTCTGAGAATCTGACAAGAGCAATGGATCCCCTTCTCAGAAAAGGCACAGACTCATACACACAGTCCTGCACATCTTTTCAAGTTGTAAGCCAATGCCCAGGACCTCGCCCATAGCTTCAGCTCCCTGATGGTCCCTTTCTTGCTCTTCTCTCCAGACTTCCTCTCCCTCTTCCCCACAAGCTTCACTGGGTTCCCACAGCACTTTTTTTGTTGTGTTTTAGTTCAGAACTAGAGATAGTTTGGGTCCACATTTTTGTCTGGGCAGGGATTAGAGGCGCCCTCTCCGTTCCACTCAGTGTTGCCGGGGCCAGAATCATCTGAATAATTGCTCACACACCTGGCTGGAGGTTGACACTGTTAAGACCTGAACAGCTGGGGAGCTGACCCCCCAAAGTTAGGGGTCTTTGGGCAGCTCTGCCTGCCTCGATTGGCCTCTCTCCTCAATCTCTCTGGCATATCCAGAGAACGTTAAACATACTTCATTGTTACTTAACACACAACACTACAGTGGTTATTCATGCCCATTGATGGTGGTAATTGTAACTGTTTCACCAGCAACACGTAAGGGCCAGAGCCTATTTATCTCTCTGTTTCCCCAGGATCCGGTGCCTTGAACATAGTAGGCATTTTACTATATGCAAATTAGAATAAAACTCAACACTCAAAAAACCCCATTTAATCCGATTAAAAAATGGGCAGAAGACATGAGCAGAAATTTCTTCAAAGAAGACATCCAGATGGCCAACAGACACATGAGAGGCTGCTCAACATCACTCATCATTGGGAAAATGAAAATCAAAACCACAAAGAGATATCACCTCACAGCTGTCAGAGCGGCTAAAATCAACCACACAAGAAACAACAGGTGTTGGCGAGGATGTGGAGAAAGGGGAACCCTCGTGCACTGTTGGTGGGAATGCAAACTGGTGCAGCCACTGTGGAAGACAGTATGGAGGCTCCCCGAAAATTTAAAAATAGAACTACCCTATGATCCAGTATTCACACTATTAGGCATTTAACCAAAGAATACAAAAACACTAACTCAAAGGAATATATGCACTGCTATGTTTATAGCGGCATTGTTTACAATAGCCAAATTATGGAAGCAGCCCAAGTGTCCATTGATCAGTGAATGGATAAAGAAGATGTGGTATATATACATATAGTGGAATATGATTCAGCCATAAAAAAGAATAAAACCTTGCATTTGCAACAACATGGCTGGAGCCACAGAGTATAATGCTAAGCGAAATAAGTCAGTCACAGAAAGACAAAAAGACAAATACCATATGATTTCACTCATATGTGCAAGTTAGGAAACAAAACAATTGAGCAAAGGGGAAAAAGAGAGAGAGAGGCAAACCAAGAAACAGACTTCACTATAGAGAACAAACTGATGGTTACCAGAGGGGCGGTGGGATGCGGATGGGTGAAATGGGTGATGGGGATTGAGGAATGCGCCTCTGATGAGCATTAAGTTATTAAAATAAAAACTTATACGTATATACACACACATGTATATGCTAGATAGAGACGCATGTAGGCATGTACTTGTTTGCTATTACATCCCACTACATTTCAAAAATAGGATTAGAAAGTGGCTTATTTACATATATCAATTCAACAAAATAAAAAATTTTAAACTAGGAAACGAAGACTAAGTGGGGAAAAAAAAAGGTAAGAAGGTGTGTTGAAATAAAGGACGAGACCGGTACCTGAAATGCACTTACCATTGGTGGTCCAGAAATCTGCTCAAGTATCCTGGTGATAAAAGCAAAGAGTTATAACCAGTTACACAATGCATGGTGTTAGACACAAACAAACTGACTGCTTAGGAAAGCACAACTTTCATTAGCAACAGACTACACAAAATTACAACCTCCTTGGGACACCTGGGTGGCTCAGTTGGAGAAGCATCCAACTCCTGATTTCAGCTCGGGTCATGATCTTACAGTTCAGGGATTCGAGCCCTGTATCTGGCTCTGCACTGACAGTGTGGAGCCTGCTTCGGATTCTCTGTCTCTCTCCCTCTCTCTGCCTCTCCCCTGCTCTCTCTCTCTCACTCTCTCTATTTCTCTCTCTCTAAAAATAAATAATATAAATAAACATTAAAAATAATCTAAAAGTACAGCCTCCTTGCGGTAAAAATTATAGCAGGTTTATACAATGAATTCCGTATAATGTCCCCCACTGCAGGTTAAGGGAAGTTCAACACAAGCAAATCCGTAAGTGGCCAAAGAAAAGGGTGCAGTTCTCTAAGAGTCTGGTTTTATCTAAGGAAAACACGTAAAACTATCTATCTAGCCCAGCCCTTTTCTAAAGGGTAGACCATGGAATACTGACCATTACTGGAGAGGTTGTGCCCATGAGGGTTTCTGTGGTCAGGAGAAGTTTGGAAACTCAACCATGGCTTCTTGGAACCTCACCGTGAACGCTGGCTTTATAAAGGCTCTGAGAAGTCCCGCAGTAAAGAATCCAGCATTTCCCAAGCTTCTTGGGCCACTGTTGTGCAAGAACCTAGCCCCAGTCTCCAAATGGCACCTAGGCTCACTGCTCCTACATGTCGTTTTTGTTTCTCATAAAAGCATATAGGATTACCAGATTGCTGTTCTTAAACAAGTTATGCCAGTATCTCTTTCCTTTGTCTTTTCTTGAAAGGACTTAGGAAAGAAAGAAATATCTGCAAACCTCCTGCTTAAATCACCTTTGTTTAAAGTCCGTTCTATTTGTTCTTCGTTACAGGCAGGACTCAAAAAAAAAAAAAAGATTAGGGAGAAATGTGTCCTCCCAAACACCGTCTAAGGCAGAAGACAGGGGTGCTTGAATGTCACCAAAAGCCCACAGTTTCTGCCCCTTGGAAAATAAAAAGGGGTCAGGACACACCTGTCCCTTGCCGATCCCGTCGGTTCTCCATAAGCCTGATCGCTAAGTGAGCAATGCTCGCTCAGAAAACTCGAGGAGCACTTTCAGCAGATGGCCGGGAGCAGCCAGGGCGGTAGCTGTTTGTTTTGGCGTCGCGTGTGAAGACAGAAAAAGGGTGTGTGCCGCCCTCTGTCCAGTTCCTGTCTCTTGGTGTGCTGGCATTTCCATCTCAAAAGAATCAAAGTGTGATCTGGTTCAAACAGGGAAGGCAGGTCTCCTTTTGGCAGGCCACAGAACTGTCCCAGAGCCTTTCCTTCACAAAGCACTTGTTAATATCCTACTTAAGATTCCGTAGAACACACTGGAGAAAACTGATGAAATGGATGGAGGGGCTGCAGAGCCTCCAGGCCAACGATTCTCAAACTGGGTTCCGTGGAGCACTAGCGCTTCTCGCGGCGTCTCAGAGAAACGAGGCAAGAGAGGAACCGAGGAGGCCCTCTGCATGCAGACTGCTGAGCCCCCAAACCCAAGTTTCTCTCTTATCTGCCTAATCATGGGTTTGGTGGGGGGAAGTGAGGGATCGGGGGATGGGGAGGGTCTGTTACTTAAAATTAGAAAATGTTGGAGAAGCCCTGCTTTAAACAAAGCACCACACATACTACTTCTCACAGCTGAGATTCTGATAAGAATTAAAAGGCAAACCGTTTTTAGTTGTGCGCTTAGCAAGAACCTGGGGACAGAAATTTAGTTTTTTTTTTTAATCAAAAGCAGAGCCACGGAAAAACATACAATAAACAAAGAAGAGATCTGCCGCCATAGAATTAACAAAGAGTTAATATTCTTAATTTATAAAATGACCCTCCACATTAATAAGAAAAAGACCAATAACCCAGGAGAAGCATGGGCCAAGGCTACAGAATTCACAGAGGCAGAAATGCAAATGGCCAATAAACATATGAAAAGATTCGCGGACTCTCTTGTCAGGGAAATGCAAATGAGAACAATGAGGTACTATTTTTTACCCATCAGATTGGCAAAAATGGAAAATATGTGTAACATCCAGAGCTGGCAAAGGGGGAAGGAATCCAGTTCTCTCAAACACCATCAGGGGAGAGGCTGTAAATTATTATAGCGTCGTGGAAAATCAACTGTTGGTATTTTTGAAAATTTCAACTGTGGCCTGGCACTCTCGCTTCTGGGAATATATCCACCAGAAATGAAAATGCCAGTCTATAAAGACATAAATATATGAAGAAGTTCATTGAAGCATCGTTTGTGATAGTTTAAAAAAAAAAACAAAAAAACACCTGGAAACAATCTGAATTAATAGGAAGATGGTGGAACAAATCATGATGTATTTATATTAAGGAATACAGTGTAGGTATTAAACATCATAAAATAAAATTATACATATTGACCGAGAGATATGCCTGTAATACTTTGCTAGATAGAATAAAAGCAAGTGTGATCCTATTTTCATTAAAAATAAAATAAAAAGACCAAAAAAAGTCACACGCTCTAAGTAGGTTTTTATATGTTTTTATAAATGCAGGAAACAGTAGGGAAACATTCAGACCAAATTGTTAACAGTGATTGCATCAGGGAGCTGGATTGGAGAGGTGCAGAGAGACTATTAATTCTATTTCAGATGTTTCTTTGTTGTTTGAATTGTTACAAAAGATATGTATTACTTTCATAATTCAAAGGATCAGAATTTTTAAAAGCAGAATTAGGAAAGAGAATTCAAAGCAAATCAAATTACTTTGAGAATCACCGGAAGGCAGGGTGGGGCTGGCCTCCTGGTATGGAATTTTAAATCTCTGAACCCAAGGGGTGTTCAGCTAATATAACACCTCCCAACTATGCATGAAGGTGAGCCTTTTAATAGGGCCGAGATCTTCCCTGAGAAACAGTCCTGACTCCTCTCTAATATACACGGAAAGATTCAATGAGGCCCCCCAAATAATATGCTATAGTACAGGAGTCAGCAAATTTTTCCAGTAGAAGACTACACAGTGCATATGTTAGGGCTCCTGGGCCAGCCTCCCTCTGTCACACCTATTCAACTCTGTTGTTGTGGTGCATCAACAGCCATAGACAACATGTATAAGGATTTATGTGAATGTGGCTGTGTCCCAATAAAACTTTATTTATAAAACAGGCAGTGGGCTGTATTTGACCCAGGGGCTAATAGTTTGCTGACCTCTGCTATAGGCCATGGGCATAACTATCTTTTAAAAGGAAACTTTTTCACTGCAGTATGAATAATATGTGTGTTACAAACATATACAAATCTGGTCAATTTTTACAAAGGGAACACAACATGTCATAATTACCACCGAGATTAAGATGTAGAACATTACCGACTCCCCAAAAGTGTTCCTCGTGCCCTCCCCAGTTATACTCATCCCCCTATCACCAAAGATAGCCACTAATTTTGCTTTTCTCCTCATAATGTGTTTTGCTTGGCTGTAAATCTAATGCAAATGGAGTCTTATGGCATTGTCTTTCACTCAGTGACATATGAGTGAGGTCCCTCCATGCTATTGTGTGGATTTGTCCAAAGTCGTTGCTATGTGTGTTCCATATACAGAATTGCAATCATAACATTGTAAGGATATGCCACACTTTATGTATCTGTTATACTATTGATGATATTTGGGTTGTTTCCAATCTGGGGCTTGCTATAGACTGAATGTTTGTGTCTCTCTAAAACTCTTATGTTCAAACCTAGTCACGAGTGTGCTGGTATTAGGAGTTGTGGCCCTTGGGAGGTGAGGGTGGAGCCCTTATGGCTGGGATTGGTGCCCTTATAATCCCTAGAGAGATCTCTGTCCCTTCCACTGGGGAGGGCACAGCAATAAGATGGTACCTATGAACCAGAAGGCAGGTCTTCACCAGACACCGAATCTAGAAGCACCCCAATCTTGGACTCCCAGTCTCTGGAACTGTGAGAAATTGATTTCTGTTTTTTATAAGGAAATCAGTCTGCGGTATTCTGCTATAGCAGCCTGAACAAACCGAGACGGCTATCACAAATGATACCTCTATGAACATTCTTGGCCATGTCTTTTGGTGCATGTATTTACACATTGCTATTGAGCATATTCATAGAGTAGATGTACTACATTTAGCTTTAGTAAATACTGCTAAATAATTTTCCAAAGTGTCTGTCGTAATTTGTACTCCTATCTTCAGTATGTGAGAGTTCTAGCTGCCCCAAGCATTGTCAACACATTAGCATCAGCAGGTTTCTTTTTTGTAATTTTAGCCATTCTTGTAGGTGTCTGTGTAAAATTCATATACAGTAAAGTCCAAAAGTGTTAGGTGTCCACCTGAAAATTTTAACATATATAATTCTCATTGTGGTTTGGGTTAAATTCCCTTAGTCACTAATGCCATTGACTCTCTTTTGATAGGCTGATTGGCCAACTGGATTTCTCTTTTGTGAAAAGCTTATTCATGTCTTTTGCTCATTTAAAAAAAAAAACAACACAACACTGGGTTGTTTGTCTTTTCCTTATTGCTTTATAGGAGGTCTTTAAATATTCTGAATGTGAGCCCTTTGTTGGTATCTTTATTCCAACCATCTTCTCCCATTATGTGGTTTGCATTTTCACTGTCTTAATGGAGTCTTTTGATGAACAGAAGTTATACTAAAGTCCATTTGGTCCGTTATTTTCTTTATGGGGGTGTGTGTGTGTGTGTGTGTGTGTGTGTGTCCTGTTTCAGAAATATGTGCTAAAGAAAAACTTTCTCTACTCACAACACTTCTGACACCAAACGTGTGGGTCCCCTCCCTCCCCACAATTCCAACCAATTCTCCAACTTTTGGGACACCAGCTGGGTATCCTAGAATTCACTTCTGACAATAACTACACACAGTTAGCATCAGACCCAAGATCCATTCCACAGGAAGTCACCCCCTCTGATGCCTGTCACAGGTAAATGGGTGCCCATGGTACCCACACTTCTGAGTTGGCTACAAAGTCAGGAGTTGCCACAACACGTCCACTAGCCCCAACCTTGGGTTTGATAATTTGCTAGGACAGCTCACAAAATTCAGGGACGCATTTATGTTTGTTTACTAACTTCTTATAAAGAATATAGATGAACCATCAGATGAAGAAGTATATGGGGCAAGACCTGGAAGTGTCCCAAGCATAGGACCTTCTGTCCCCATGGAGCCACTCTCCAAACTATGGGTGTGTTCACCTCCCCAGAAGCTATCCAAGCCCCACCATCTAGGGATTTGTATGGAGGTTTCATCATATAGGCATGGCCGACTTTTAACTCAGTCTGTAGCCCCGCTCCTCTCCCTAGAGGATGGGGGAGGGGCTCAAAGTTCTAAGCCGCTAATCCAGGTTTAATTTGTCTGGTGACCACCCCCATCCTGAATCTATTCAGGAGCCCACCGAGAGTGGGCCTCCTGAGAAGATGCTCCTATCACCCAGGAAATTCCAAGGGATTTAAGAGCTCTGTGTGAAATGATCCTATTGCACCCATCACTCAGGAAATCGTAAGGGATTTAGCAGCTTTGTGTCAGGAACCAGACGGCAGAGG